GGTCACAGTTAGCTCAGTAAGGTCACAGTTAGCTCAGTAAGGTCACTGTTAGCTCAGTTAGCTCAGGAAGGTCTCAGTTAGCTCAGCTCAGTAAGGTCAAAGTTAGCTCAGTATGGTCACAGTTAGCTCAGTAAAGTCACAGCTAGCTCAGTAAGGTCACTGTTAGCTCAGTTAGCTCAGCNAAATATACAAAGGTCGATGTTGTCCTGATAAGAGATGCCATGCTGTGTGTGTGTGTGTGTGTGTGTGTGTGTGTGTGTGTGTGTGTGTGTGTGTGTGTGTGTGTGTGTGTGTGTGTGTGTGTGTGTCCGTGTCCCTGAAGGGATCAATGTAACAGATTGCTTAATAATGACGCTCAATAAATAAACACAGCTACTAGTTTACCTGGAACAGTGGATTGTTTGAAGCATCTTCTTAGTTCTTTTAATGGGTTTTGTAGCAATGTTGAGTGCAGAGTGACTTACCAACAAGAAACCCTTTTGATGACATTGTTTACTTGATACTTGCTTTTCAATCATCTCACTTTGAAACTTGCTTTAGAAGTATTTCCACTTAAAAGTCACATTTTCTCTTAAATAACAATTCCTAATCTTGTTTTAAATAAGAGTGTCATTTTTATATAACTTGAAATAAGATAAATGTGCCTGAAACATTTCCTATTTGTTTCCCAGTTAAGGTTCAAGGTTCTTTGTTTTCAAACTAACATAGCTACAGAGTAATTATGTCGTTGAAAATCTTAGGTCACAGGCTTCTCCAACAATGCAACACAATAATACAGATAAGCAGAGAATCATTTCAAGATCTCCTTTATCTAACATCGCATCTTATTTAATCTTTTTTTAACATGTTAACAAATGTTTGACTTATTACAAGCAAAAACAACTTGTTTTCATTACATTACAACTTATTATTATTTGTATTTTTTAACTCATTTTTGGAGCACCAGTGTGACCTATGTGACATATGAAACCAAAACACTTCCAATGACATCTGCTAGGCTTTGTTAAAGATGAACCAGAGGGGCGTCATACTTCTCTTTCTGCAGGCTCTCGATCTGCTCGGTGAGGATCCTCTCTTCCTGCTGCATCGCCATCTGCTGCTGATCACTCAGCCCGGCCTCTGCTGCTTCCTCTGCTCCTTCTTCTCCTTCTCCTCCTTCGTCTCCTTCTCCCTTTCCTCCTTCTCCTCCGCCTCCACTTCCATCACTCTCTCCATCCACCACCACTGGGGGCACTTTGGGGCTGAGAGGCGGCGACAGCGTGTTGGTGCTGCTTTGCTGAACGCGGCCTTTGCACTGCAAGTTCACACAGAAATCACAGAGCAAGGGGACATGTTAGTGGAGGCTGTCTAAGGGCATACTAATGAATAATCATAATGAATAATATCAATAATCTGTTGACAGCGATGGAGCACAGACAGCGGACTCTATAGACACGGTTGGATGTCTCGAACAAATAGCGACTACACATATTGACAACCAGTTCACGAAAACACGGCTAAAAACTATGAGGTCAGCTACACAAACACACACAAATACACCTCTGCTGCAGACACACACACATAATCACACACATTGATCAAGGGGGTGAAACCCGCCGCCGCTGCGTCTGTAAAGCCGTTGTGTCCTTGGGCAAGACACTTCACCTGAACTTGCTCCTGTGGGTATTGTCCACAGTAGATGACCATTACATGTATGTATGATCTGTATATGTAATGTGTATTTGTAAAGTGCTTTGAGTCATTGATAAAGCGCTATAATAAATATAAGGATTATTATTATTATTATAAGCAAACTCGGGTAGGCATTACATTAAGTTTAGCTGTGTTAGGCTGCTTGATAATAAGTTGAAAAGCAAAAAAAAAAAGTAAGTAAGTGCTGCTCTCTCAGACCGATAACACTAACTTTGACATAGAGATACCTTCAGTTACAGAAGTTCTGCAAACTGAACCGTGTCGGGAAACTGTACAAATATACAGTAATTAACTAATTTCAATCAATTATAGTCAGAAACATGAAATAATAGGCCTCGTTTATCCCACATGAAGAGCAGTGCTAGCTTGATAACATTGAATGGGATGCTGCTAGCAAAAAAGCTAGGTAGTTAGCTTGGTTTGCTAACCACAGAGACTTAGCAGACAAAGCAACAACACCACAATGGAAACTCTTATTACAATTAATTATACACAAAAAACAGAGCAAGATTTTGAGCCATATCTTAGTGTGAAGTCAACTCAACTGTGTTAGCAGATGCTTAATCCGCCTGTAGTTAGCTGTTCTGTTTAAAAGTGGCTTCTTAAGAATCTATTTAACTTATTGTTAGCTAGTGTTAGCTGCTAATCAGATCCCAGCTACACACACACACACACACACACACACACACACACACACACACACACACACACACACACACACACACACACACACACACACACACACACACACACACACACAAGTTGCTTAGAAGCTGAATAAAAGCAACTTTAGTCAATTTTATGTTAAACAAAACGTGAAGTTCAAACCAAGTCTGACAATCTAGCAACATAAGTGAAATTCTGAACCGGCAGACTCAGTATTTTTGGGGACTAAATTGACATTAATGTAATAAACCCCGGCAAAAACAGATAGCATTTTTTGTGCAAAGCCATGTCCACTAGTGTGATGTGAAAGCCCAAAACAATTGTAATAGTAAATAATTAAATAACGTATCAGTTAAATTCATTCAACAATGACCAATGTCTGAAAATGTCATAAAAGTGTGAAGTTAACTGAACTCGAGTCATGGTTCAGTGCTCTGTATCCCTGATTATCAAGCAAGAAAACAAATTAAAGTCAAAGCAGACATCATCTAACAACAGAAAGAGTATGATCAATGATGACATGTATAGCCGCATGTCATCATTTCAGCGCTGGTTGTCTTGGTGGTGCCCAGCAAACGATGTGGGCTTCGTAAATAATTGGACAGCCTTCTGGGGAAAACCTGGTCTGATTAAGAGGGACGGCATTCCTCCTACTTTGGAAGGTGCACATCTCATTTCGGCAAACATTTCAGGGCTTTGTGGACTTAATCCATGACAAACTGGAGTTGAGACCAGGAGGCGGAGTCACAGTCTTACACGCTTCTCTGCGCTCTCTCCTAGGCAGTCATCCATAGAAATCCCGAACCCAATAAAATACCCAATATTAACGGTGTGTGTGTCTGCCCAAGGACAATTTAAGATAAAACCTAATAGAGGTGTCATACATAATAACCTACTAAAAGTAAATGTAACAACTACTACAGTGCAACAAAACAGGAAGATTAAATGTGGTCTCTTAAACATAAGATCTCTAGCATCTAAAGCAATATTGGTAAATGATTTAATATCAGATTATAATATTGATATATTTTGTCTCACTTAAACTTGGTTGAGACATGAAGAATATGTCGGCATAAATGAGGCCACTCCACCCAGCCATATCAATACTCATATTCCTCGAGGCACGGGCCGAGGAGGTGGAGTTGCAGCAATCTTTGACTCAAGTTTACTGAACAATACTAAACAAAAATTAAATTATACCTCCTTTGAAAGCCTCGTTTTCAGTCTTACGCATCCGACCTGGAAAACTTTGCAGCCAATCTTATTTGTTACAGTGTACCGTGCACCAGGTCCTTATTCAGAATTCTTATCAGTGGTAATTATCGTAGGTGACTTTAATATTCATGTTGACGATGATAAAAATAGCCTTACTGTTGCATTTAACTCTGTATTAGATTATATTGGTTTCTGTCAGAGTGTAAATAAACCAACCCACTGCTATAATCACACTCTCGACCTTGTTCTGACTTATGGTATTGAAATTGAGCAACTATTAGTCGAACCGCATAATCCTGCTGTTAGTGCTATAGCCAAAATTAAAGGAAGAGATTCCACCAATACTTAACTCGATAGCATGTCTGCATGTAAGGGAGGAAACTTATACAAAATGTACACCACCCCAAATTGATCATGTTGTTGATAGTGCTACAGATGCGCTGCGAATAAAATTAGACTCTGTTGCTCCTTTGAAAAAGAAGAAAATAAAACAACATAGATTAGCTCCATGTCATAATGCCGAAACCCGCAAAATAAAGCAAAAGTCAGTCGCCAGAACGCCGACACCTCCTCATCTCCACCGCTCCCATGTTTTCTTTTGTGTTGCCATAAGTTAGTCTCTCTGCGTTTGTGCGCTGGGCTAATGCTAATAATGCTATTAATGCTAATGCGAGGATAATAAAATGGCGGCTTCACAAAACCTTTTTGGGAGTTTTACGGGGCGTGGTTTGCAATCCGCCCAGCCAATCAGAAATAGGAACCTTTTTCTCCCACGAAAGTACCTGCTCTCTAGCAGGGACGGAAAACTGACGGAAAAGGCGGTAAAAAGGTTCTCATGAACTAATTTTAGTCCCGGCTCTTTTTGGTGTGAACGCTACATTTCGGAACTAAAGTGGGAAAAGTACTGCGGTGTGAACGCGGCTATTGAGTAATTTCTCTGTAAGAAAATATTCCTAGAGCTCTTTTTTTTGCATGCAAAGTGTCCCGCTGTGCACATATTTCTAATTTAAATCCCCTTGTGTCAGCTTTTTGCTTGTGTAGCAAAAAACGATGAGATGTATGAATGAACTCCTGCCATGGCTTTGTGAAAACCATGCCAGCTGCTCGAGGAGCTGAAAAACTGCTGAGTCACCATTTAAATGATGAGTGAGAGGAACGAGTTGGAAAAGCATCCATGTCGATGCCACGCAGTGAGGATTTCTTTCCATGAACATGTTTTGTAACTTGGTTTATGAGCTTAAAGGGCTGTTGACAGTAGTCTGGTCTTACCATGGACCTCCTGATGTGGGTCAGTCGGCTCTTGGCTTTGCTTTCTGCAAACTCCAGACTGCTGATGTCCTTCAGGCGAGCTCTGTACTTGCCCATCTGCTCATTGATGATCAGCTCCACACACCTACAGGGGAACAGATTTAGATTAGAACAGGATTCAGAAACTATGTCTCCCAAACATTGCTGAATAATCGTTCTTCTCTTAATGTCCTCGTAACACAATGGATAACCCTACATACAACATCTTCAACAATATCTGTTTTCCTTTTTTACTGCCGATTTTTATTCCATATTGTATTCCATTCCATTTGTATACTGTCATATTTGACTATATTTAGTATTATTTTAAATATTTTTCTAGTTCTCTATCTGTGTTTTAAATGTTTGTTTTACTTTTATGTATGCACCACGACACCTAGTCAAATTCCTCGTACGTGTCAACCTACCTGGTAATAAACCTGTTTCTGATTCTGATTCTTAGGTGCTGTTTACACAGGAACGAAACGGGTTGTATCTGCTACTTTTCTCTTTCGTATAGCCCGTTCGTTCACATGAGGCTGTAACGGAACCGCGGAAACGGACCCCTAAAACGATAACGGACCCCAAGGTGGATAGATCTGCGGAAGGATCGCTCTGGGGGGCCAAACGGCTCTGTGTGTACGTCCTATACGATAATTTTCCTGATAACGATGAAGCCATAGCCCCGCCTCTCCCACCTCTGCTGCTCACTGCTGTAGCATGCTACAGATGTTAGTGCAAAATCTACAGCGCCACTTACAGGCCCGGCATATGTACTACAGCGTCTCCAGCGGGTCGAGCGGTCTCGTGTGAACGGAAGACTTTTTTGATATCGAATTCGGTTAGTTTTCGTTTGCGTTCCCGTGTAAATGGGGCCTTAGTTTCATGACATATGGATGACTGAAAAGGATGGTTAACCGGGGAAGGGTATCCCTGCCCTTATTTAGTTTTTCTATATTTTACATTTGTATAATTTGTATCTGTATATTTGTGTCATCTTGTGAAGGCGAGAGAAACATTTAATACAAAGTTGGTAACAAAAAAAATAAAAATAGACGTGATTAAATACAAGTAGAATAGAGGATGTGATTGGAACAGGTTTTTGTTAATTACTAATTGTGTGTTTACATTTCTTTAGGGACTGCTGGCTTAAATAAATCAGGTTATACCATTGAATATCGTAACTAGTAAAGCCTTTATTAGTTTATGAATTTGTTGCCAGATATGATTTTTGGCGATACATTTAAACTTTGACTTGACTTTATTGATCTCCCAGGAGGAAATGCATGAGCTACCCAGCAGATAAAGTATACAAAGAAGTTAAATGAGCTACACTTTTACCAGCTGCAACATTAAAGTCATATAAGGAGTATTAAGTTATTGACTATTCTCAAACTTTGTCCCTACAATAAAGGGTTGGTGGTAAGTGGTAACATTACAACACACTTTAACTGTGAGACCAATAAGAGGTCATGGAGGTGGAAAACAAAAACAAAATACCTCAACCTTTAAGAAATACAGATGCAATCAAGTGAGACATTTGAGACAATGTTTTAACTCATATTTCTTTTTGTTGCAGGCAATTATTTTGTTTACAAGCCCTTGTCTATCCTATCTCTATATACAAAGTTAAATTGTACATAACTTTATCTTAATTTTCCTATTCTATGTGTATGTCCTGACTTTTGCCAGCTTTTTTTTCAATATGCTTTTCAAAAGTGATGAATATACTTATATACAATTAACTTATTTGGATACTGATTCTGTGAGCCAAAGAGTTATAATAGGAAACAACGGAGGATGCTGGAGGACGTACGCTGTGGTTTTGCTGATGTCCTGGACGCTCTGCAGCGGGTCGATGGTGTCGGGGCAGCGGAGGATGCAGGGAGCGAACACGATGGCGAGGGCGTTGGCCGACATCCTGTTCGTGTCCTCCTGCAGGGCAATCCTGAAACACACCACAGTGTAATCCTGTTAATCCTGATGCAGACGTAAACAGAGCATGACACACAGAACACACAAAAGGCAGGGCAGCATGTGACGAGAAAGCTAATCCAGTGTTTGACAAGTGAGAGAAAAACAAATGAAAGAGGATCTATAAACCACAGCTCAGACATTTCGCTATTATGATCATTTTCAGGTTGATATTGGTATTTAGTACCTGTACTGTGACATGTCTCCATGCTTTAATGTTCACAAAGCTCTTTATTTGTCTCATACTGCCTGTGCTGCAGCACCTCTTTTCACCCTCTGTTGGAAACCAGAGCCCTGTCTGCTCTGATTGGTTAGCTGACCGGCTCTGTTGTGATTGGTCAACCGCTTAGACATGTCCCGCCCCTTAGCCTATCACGTACAATGTGTTGGAGTGCTAGTCAATAAAAGTGTAATTGTGACAGAGAGATGTCACTATGTTACGGAAGTAAACAAAGGAGTCCAGGAGCCTTAGCAGACCATTTACATGCACACAATCTGCATAATGCACTACAGGGAAGGGAAAACCCCAACAAGCATAATAGGGCCTCTTTAAAATAAGTGCATTATGCAGATTGTGTGCATGTAAATGGTCTGCTAAGGCTCCTGGANGGCTGTTTTTTTTACTGTATTCTCCATAAAAGCCGACGGTAAATATCTGCAAGTCTGCCTAATATCTCACACACACACACACACACACACACACACACACACACACACACACACACACACACACATTCAAACCACTGTGTCCGGTTCAATTGGGAAAATATAGTTCAAGGTAAAATACTAAACGTTAGAAAATGGCTGTTTTTTTTTACTGTATTCTCCATAAAAGCCGACGGTAAATATCTGCAAGTCTGCCTAATATCACACACACACACACACACACACACACGCACACACACACACGCACGCACGCGCACGCACACACGTGCCCTGCCTCCCTGAGTGTGAGAAAAACTCGATTAAACCTCATAAATCCATCTTCTATCAAGTGACTGTCTCCATCTGCACTCAGTGAGCAGCAGACACCCAAACTCGCCGCCTCTGCACTCTGCACTCCTTCGAGGTCGTGACGGACTGACTGCAGATGTTGTTGTTGTTGTTGTGCGGAGGTTTTAGAGTCTCATTGTGTTGATCTGTTATCTGCAGTGTGTCGCTACGCCTGCCATAGGAAGTGCTGCACCAAGATGACCACCAAGTGCAGTAAAAAGGTAGGAGGAGATTTGATTTATCTGAAGGTTTATGGTTGCGGGATGCTGTAATATCACTAAGGTGTTAAAACAAAACACTGGAAATGGATCAAAACATTTTTTAACATTTAAGCCTATTTGATTTCCCTTGTGTCTTTATGTTATTTAACTCACAATAAATAAATGTATGCCTGTCAAATGTTATGCAAATTGTGTTTAATTAGCATTTTTCATTTCCCTTTTGTTGTCATATGTATTCTTTTTAACAAAAGCTTTGTCCAGAAATACTTTTTATTGGTATCTTATAGGTGTAGGCTTTCATTTGTACAATTTACTCTTAAGCATTTACAGTAGCAAACTACTTGTTTCAAAGCAAAAAAAGCGTGCCAATGTTTGTAATAAGAAAGAAACATCTGATTCTTATTATAATAAATGTAAATTAATGAGCAATAAAACCCTTAATTATTGATGAAGTACCCTCACAGCTTTTGCTGCTACATGTTTACTCGGTCTGGTATGACTTGTAGCTTATAGTAGCTAATGTGGCACATTGTAGCATAGCATTAGTCTCTAAGTTACACACAGTGGTCTATCTGTAGTGTGACGTGTTTGTGTGTGTGTGCAGTACGATCCGGAGCTGTCGTCCAGGCAGTACGGTGTGGAGTTGTCCCGTCTGACCAGCGAGGAGCGGACGGTGCCGCAGCTCGTGGAGAAACTCATCAACTACATCGAGATGCACGGCCTCTACACCGAGGGCATCTACAGGAAGTCAGGCTCCACCAATAAGATCAAAGAGCTGCGCCTGGGGCTGGACACAGGTCAGACTGACACCGACAACTTTATTACACATACATGTGTATCACCCATGTTTTCTAATAATTAATTATGACTTTTTGTTCATTCACTAACTTTGTGATTCTACTGACGAAGTATTAGCTTACTTGAGGATTGAAAGAGTACAAGTGTATTTTTGCAACAAAAGTCCTCATGCTTTTCTATACTTGAATATATATTCAGTTTTTCTTCAACTACTACCACTACTACTACAATTTGCTCTTCTACTCCTACTACTTCTATGACCACTCTTCCGGTACTACTGGTACTTCTTACTCTTGTTCCTTTACCACAAGTACTACTAGTCTTTCAGTCACTAGCATTATAAATACTGTACGTTCCTACAACTATTTCCTCTTTCTTCTTCTTCTTTTTCTTATACAACATCTACTACTAGTTATACCGTACCGTAAATACGTCACATAAAGTTAATTTGCCTGAACGTGTCTGTGTTTGACCAGATGTGAACGTTGTGAACCTGGACGACTACAACATCCACGTCATTGCCAGTGTTCTCAAACAGTGGCTGCGTGACCTGCCCAGCCCTCTCATGACCTTCGAACTGTACGAGGAGTTCCTCCGGGCCATGGGTACGTTTTTAATCAGTTATTTAGTGACTGCATGTTTGACTCCGCAGAGGCTCCTCCGGCTGAGAGTCAAATGTTACCTGGTCTGATGGTGTGTGTTTGATTTATTTCCAGGCCAGTCAGATCGGCGCGAGGTGATAACAGGAGTGTATTCTGTGATTGACCAGCTCAGCAGGACTCACCTCAGCACGCTGGAGCGCCTCATCTTCCATCTGGTCAGGTAAGTGAAGAGTTAAAACATACAGCATGTTTAAAGGTGGGGTAGGTCATTTTGGAGAAACCAGCTCGAGTGCGCTGGAATTTGAAAATACACAGCCGGAACAAATCTGCCACTTCCTTACAGAGCCCCTCCTCCAACACACAGGAACGCGCACATGACCAATGAGGGCACGAGATAAGTTTGTGAACAGATGGAAAGCTGACAGGCAGGTAGGCCATCCAGTTATTTTAGCCGGGCCGGCTCAGATGATTGGTCGTGCTTTTTACAGCACTACAGCTTCCACAGATGACATTGTTTTATGGATTTGTTGTCAAAGCACTTAAGATATTCATTGCTATCGGGATGTTAAGAGCATTCCATCGAATATAACAAAAAGTGTATCTCGAGCCGGTTTCTCAAACGTACTGAAGGATTATTTGAATTATTTGAAGTATTAAAGTAACGTGTTATGGCAGGAAAGTTCAATCTGGTATATTCATTTTAATGTCACCTTATATAGAATGTGTGTTAAACTTGTGATTTCTGCATTGAGTGACTTCTGCCTAGCAGATACCAAGAAGAGGCCCCTAGGGTCTCTCTG